CTGCATCTTCGACAATCATACGTCGTTCTGTAATCAAAGACTGAAACTGGTTGTTCAACTAAACAGTGTACGAGACTGTGGACGGCTATGGTGGCATTGTACTGATTACATCTACATTGTAAACAAGACTAGTGACGCAATCGGTCATCATCCCGTGTCAACTCCAGGCAGTTATTGTCAGTATTCTATGATAAGTCAAAATATAATGTGACTTGACACAAAAAAGCACCAGTTTATCAGGATATCATCACCAGTCGTCCAGAAAATTAGACATCATTTACTGATCGACTGACAAAAGCCGTTAGGTCGCGGATAGTACGCGACCTAATGGTTGTGTGCAAGGTTTGAAGAAGGCTGTGTGTTATTTGCACGCGCCTCACCCTGATAATGTTTTATTCTCAGCACGAATACAGAGGGCTAGTTTCGCATATGCCAGTTTACGCCGTCTCTGGCGTAGACGCGATATCCGACTATCGACCAAGGGGCGTGTGTACTGCTCAACAGTCCGCTCCGTCCTCCTTTATGGCTGTGAGACTTGGCCATTGAGCGCAGAAGGCTTGAAAAGATTAGCTGTCTTTGATCATAGGTGTCTGCGTCCTATCTCCCGCGTGAAGTGGTATGATAAGGTGAGCAGTATTGAGGTTAGGCATCGACTGCTAGGTGAGGAGGGGAAGTCAGTCGACGAGACTGTGAATTTACATCGACTGAGATGGTTTGGACATGTGCTACGTATGCCTAGTCATCGCCTTTCTCGACGGGCCATGTTAGCTGATATAGGGCCAGGCTGGTTAAAGGGCTAGCGGTGGTCAAACGAAAACATGGCACCAGTCAATGAAATCTACAACAGTTAGTCTAAGACACGTAGGAAGGTGTAGACTTCCTGGTTGAGGTCCTCGGGAAGGTAAAAACCAATATATATATATATATATATATATATATATATATATATATGTAGGTGCTTATATCCACAACCAATCAGGTGACTTGGTTTCTTCACATATCTATGAGAAATATACATGTTATAAGAATAAAACTTGGGCAATGTGGTAGAGTGTAATTCCATTATGGGTAAATTTTTATTTTGATAGAGTCTCACAGTGTTATACAGTAAATAATAGCAAAATAGCAAATTATAAGTAGTCGCTCCATTGTACTATGGTTAAAGTTTAAGTATGATTAGGTGGACTGACACACGTGTCTGAGTAACGTTCTACGTTGATTCGTCATTCATTTATTAGATATGATTGATAATTAATAGATGTATAAGTTATGTATAGATACACTGTTGTCAAGCAAATGGGTCATACCCTCAAATCCTATTCTATACACGTCTTATGACTTATGGGCATTATTGCTAGAAGTCATATGATAGATGTAGCTGATTGGCCAGTTGACATCGCTGCTGAGATGATGCACTTCCTTCTCTACCATTTGTACTGTTTTTGTGTGACTGAGAAAACTATGAAAATCCAAAGTATAAGTACTACTGCCTCAAATTATAAGCAATGGAACTCAGTATGTCAGGGTTCAATTCCCGGCCGACACACTCCTAAACCTCGCCTAACCAAGTAGTAAACCTGGGAAAGAGACGTTTGGCCATGAGGCTAGCAACCATATTTCTCGAAAGAAAACAAAACATCACTGCTAGTGAAACTTCAAAGTTTGAAGTCCTATATTCTACTTAGAACTGAAGGAGAGAAAACGAATTTTTTTAAGCTGGTTATAAGACGACAACATTCTCACTAGCATGGACCAACATAAAGAAATAAAATGAATGATTGTAAAAGAGATACTGTAGGAACATTTAGAATACATGAAAACCTGTTTTTTTCTCAGTCCACTGCCTTCCGACTTGAATATAGGACTTAGGGCTTCAAGTTTTGAAGACTCAGTAACCATTGTGCTGCTTCTTATGGGGTGGATTTGTTAGCCGTACACCCAATCTTCAGTCTTTTGCGGACTTACTCTGAACTGGTAAACTAGTCAATTTTTATTAGTACATCGACCGGGAATCGAACCCCAAACTAGGTGCTTAGTTAGCGAGCATTTTACCACTGAATCACTGATGCACCCTTTTTGTCACACATTTAAATAAATTAGTTTGCTCAGTGTTCATTGTTCCCTAAATGGAAGTCAGAATGTGGTGACAGTCGTCTGCAAGCCAAAATTATAGACAGCAGTCCACGTCAATGTTGACGTCCCTAATCGAGGTCATGAGAAAAAACAAGAACAAAGCTTAACTTTGAGGACTTAACGTGTGCAGATACGATTCGCAGATATATGGCTTAACTTTCTGAGAAACGGTCACAAGCAGTACAGAATAACCTTCAGTTAGCGGAGAAACAACCATTAAGAAGAGGTTGTTTCTCCACTAACAATAACGCTAATAATAATACACATAGGAATATATAAATATCTCTTGATTGTATTTAATAAACGATCTGTCACCTGGACCTTGTCTTCTGTTGTTATAAGAATGCTGAAGTCTACTTCTGACAAATCAAGGCTCCATGACTCAGTAATACACAGAAGTTCTTACTCCTATGTTAACCAAATACTGAGTATCAGAATATGACATGAGTAGTTCAATATCTTACATATGTATCCTGGTCCTTTGTTCTCTAATATTTTACGTTCTCTTACTGAACAGTATTCACCTTTTGTATTTCACTTATCATGTTTTCGCTTATTTATAAAACACTTAACTAATACTAACTGATCATTGTTAATACCTGGTTTTTACTCACAATCTTTTGTAATTCTCTAAATTATATCTGTACTTTCAAACCACAACACCTCGAAATCCACTCTGTAGTGGATTTTCACCAACTATGTTTTGTGCAGACTGTCTTCTAAACTGATTATCAATTTCATACAAATGGTATCTTTTCTTTCTGGTGTGGTTTTTGTTTTATTAATATTTGAATTTATGTGATAAATTTATTAATACCTTAGTTTACTAAACCTTTTTCTGTTTTAAGTGATAAATGGACGTAAACTGCACAAATCAACAGTTGCTGCAGAACTGTTGGAGTTCACTAGATCTCATCATCTTGTGTTTCATTCTAAGTGATTATTCAGGGTGTCGGTGGCACAGCAGTTATGACGCTCGCCGACCATGCATATGGTCCGGGGTTCGATCCCCAACCGACGCCCACCTGATATCAATGGTCTCGGCCGGCTAAATTTGAACTACCGATATGATATGCGGAGAATTCCGTACTTGTACCAAAATACTGTGTGGAATGAAGCTATAATTAAATAAATAAATAAAATGGTTAATTTTAAGGTTTTAAGCGAATTGCAGCTTCCAGTGTGTTCTACACTGAAAACCATGTCTATAATATCAAATATAGATAAATCATCTTACAGTATAGCGTATCTAAAAATGAATGAGACAAACAGGTTTTTAATAAAGTTTATGTTTCTTCTAGAATTATCAATTCTTCAATAGTTCAGATTCCTTGTTGATAATGTTCAAGCTTTCGGGATTTCATCTTGTAAATGCCTATGTAAAAACATTCAAGGTAATTTGGAAACTGATCTGACACCATGGATTGCAGCAACTCAAACCTGTATCAGCCTCATTCAACAGTTATATGACAATGCTTCACGCCAACTGATTCACAACGGGGAGCTTGGCAAAGCCTCTGAAGTAAAGACTAGAGTAAGACAAGGCAGCCTACTGCCACCGACGATTTTTCTAGTTATATTAGACTGAGCTATGCGACAGTCCGTGAGGAGAGACAGGACGGACATACACTGGAGGGAAAAAAAGACACTGGAATATCTGGACATTCATCGATGATTTATGTCTGATTTCGCAGAAGTTTGAAGATCTACAAGCGAAAGACCAGCAAGTTAGTGGAAGAGGCAGTGAAGACCGGACTTCAAATGAACATTGATAAAACAGAAGTGATTAGAAACCTAATCGACAGCAACAAGAACGAACTAACATCAATGGAGGAAGTGTGAAGGAAGCCACTTCTTTCAATTACCTAGGCGGGAAGCAAAGATGAAGATGTCAAAGGCAAGGTTGAAAAGGCAATACAGGCCTTCATTACTTTGAAATCAGTGTGGGAATCCATCGAACTCTGTATAAGTAACAAGATCCGAATTTCCAATACCATTGTCAAGTCAGTCAGTGATTCCATATGGTTCAGAGAATTGGCGCACTATCAAAAGCATACCAGACAGACTTGGTTCCATACTGAGGATCAGATGGCTGACCAGAAAGGTAAGCAACAAGGAACTCCGTCAGCCAACTGCCCAAAAGCCTATTGCCCATGTAGAAATATGTAGAAGGACATATATATGGATCAGAAATACACTGAGAAGACCGTGGCATCATGCTCCAAGCACTCGAGTAAAACATGAATGGGAAGCGAAAGATGCGTTGTTTGTCCGAGGATGGCATGGATGAGTTCGTGTAAGGTTAAGATGAAAGCTTATGAGCAGTCGAGGAGCCACCTAAGAAAAGACTGCGGAGAACAAGATGCAATGAATCTGTGCTGCTGTGAAGCCTAATTTTCTACCAGTAACCCGTGGGAGTAGCAATTATAATACAATAAGGTCTAAGATTACTTTGAATTGTTGTTAAACTTTACTCTTCCTTTTACTGTACATGTATTAAGCTTGAGTTTTTGGTGGTCTTGTATATATTTAAAATAAACAACATGTTTAACACAACCACCTAGTGTGTTGCACATTATGAGTACCAGTTTATTCTGTTATCTCGTGTTTTGCTAAATTACAAAAGGTATATCTGCTTCTCTTCTTGGTGGTAAATTTTTGCACTCAGCATTGGAGTTTCTATGTGGTGCTTTGAAGTGTAGCACCATGAACTAATGAAGTGTTGTGCAGTGTTCCGCACTAATCCTTCAGTCATATCACTTGAGGTGTCAGTGTAGGCGTTGTTTTGAGCGCCAATTCCTTTTTGAAGCAGCGCATGTCAAACCATCACTTTCCATACTTTTACTCATTTTTTCTTCACTTTTATAGCTTCCACCAACTGGATCTAATCCAGACCTTGTACGAAGTAGTCCAGCTCCAACATCAACAGCTTTAAAACCTGAAACTGCCTCTGCAAAAATTGAAAGTCCTTCTAGTAAGCCTTCTGCGGATAAACCTGTTGCAGCAGATGTTATGAAGTCCAGTGACATAATGAGTAAATCTTACACACAAATTTCAAAATCGGATAGTCCGACTCGTAAGATGATAAGTGGGAGTAAACTCCCCACTTCTACTACCACTACTACATCAACACCGCCTATCCCTACTGGTATTAAAATGCCAATAAATCCTTCAGAGATCTCACAAACAACAGCAGCACTTAGTGATGTAAAAGCGGCTGCGCAGAAGGTGGATTCTGAAAATGCACCAAGTGAACTTAGAGATACGTCTCAAAAAATACCAAAAACATCTGTATCAGCTGTTCCAAGTGGTACTGGTAAGTACATCCCAGACACAGAGTTGGAACTGGCAAATCTACGTGCTGAAGTAATCGAATTTCGTGAACAAATTGATGCTTTAAAAGCTAAACGGGAAGAAGATAAAAATAGAATACAAGAATTAGAACGTGTTAAAATTCAGCTGTCACAAGTTGAAGAGAATCGACGTCGAATCCGACAACAAGCAGCTGAATTACAACGTGAAATTGCTCAATTAAAAACAGTAGGTTTTCTTTCTTATATTGATTTTAACAATTTTGTTGGGTTGGTGAACTGTACTTGGAGCTTAAATTATTCTTTTGAAGTCACTATCATTACTGTTTCCAAAGAATGGATACTGAACAAAGAATACTCTTTTCGATAACTTCATCATCAGGCTCTGCAGTTATATATACATTATAGTAAATGAATAAATTAGTGTTGTGAACAACATTAATGTTTAAATAACCACGAATATCAATAGATTATAGTTAAATAGCATCAATATAACAATAAACTAAATGTCAGAAAAATTAGTAAAGATAATAATACAAATTCATGGATTTATAATCTCCACTAAAGGCCAGGGCAATAGTAGTGGCTAGACTTGCTTCTTTTGCACACAAAGCACTGGTTATTTGAGGCGAATTGAAATAGCCTCTGCTGTTTGGAGCATGTGGTACTTCGCTGTTTTCGGCAATTTATTTGGCACACGGTAGATGATAGAGAAGGATTCTTCAATGCTGGCTTTGTGGCTGGTTTGGACCAGATGATCAAATATCGAACTGTTGATGGTTTTCACTACACCTTTACTTAGCTATACTGGGAGATGTTTCTTTTAAAAATTGAAACCTCTGTAAATAAATCATAAAATTGTATGAACGGAAAGTTTGTGAACTCTCTTAGTTGACTAACTGTAAGGAGATAATATATTCTCAATCGATGGCGATAACTAATCAAAATCGATTGATAACCTGAAAATGACCCTATATGGAGTAAGCTACTGATGATGCAACATGAAGTTATTGACTGCTAACACTTGAGTTTTGACTGTTCCCAGTTCCAGTTTAAAAAAGATGGTTCTCAGTTATAGAACCACAAATAGCCACTGCACTTTGTTTTCGTACTATTTCTCATCCACGATCCATGTTAATAATAGATTAGTGTAATTTCGCAATTGTACAATCTATGGGACCTATGTCTACCCACTCTGTATGTAATGACAAAGTTGACGTCAAAAAGAGTAGTGCTAGTAATCACATTTTGCAGATAGCGAATACTAATAATATAGTGGAAACACTTCTACCAATGTGAATTTTGTCCGTTTACTTGCTCACAGAGTGATGTGCAGAAACTGGTGATCTTTTTACTGCCATTTAATACATACCAACCATCAAAAAGTCGACGTGTTTTGTGTGTGTGTGTGTATGATTCTCCTACCTCATATCTGTGATCATGACTCCTTGACTCATTGGTAGAGTTTTGAGCCTTTATGGTCAGTTAGTTTTTAATATAAATATGTATTGACAAGGAGGCCGTGTGATCAAAATGTCCGAAATGTGTTATGTGAATGCATTACATGTTTCAGATAGAACAAACTGCGTCTTATTTTTTGTTGTTGTTGTCGAAATTCATGAAAGGAAGTAACTGCTTTTAAAAGTAATAACTTCTCCTGAGTGTCCTACTCTCATAAGTTTTGCACTGATTTCTTCTGCTAATGAATTGAGGACATGCAAGGCAAACTTAGCTCATTGATTTAAGCACTTGACTTTTGACCAGTGGGCCTCGGGTTCGAATCCCACTGTGCCTACCTAGAGCGGGTAACTGGGAAGTATCATTAACCCTTACACAATAAGTGTCACTCATAATCCCTGGAATATGAAACACCCCTTCCAGGAACTGAGTTCAAAGATTGCATGCTAACCGTTTGGTTCAATGATAACACTCGCATCTTGTAACTCAATGATCCTGAGCTCATTGCTCCATGCAGTCATGTGTTTGCATTAGTACAAAGTGCCAAGCTAGAAAATACTCGCTCTGTTAGCTCTCCTTAGTTTCTAAATACATCTATGGCTATTTTCATTGAAAACCTGGTTCACTAATGTGTTTATTATTAATCTCTATTAAGGAAAAAGCTGAAGTCAAAGAAGCATTTGATCGTTATCGTGAAGAAGTATCTGAAATGGTTGAAAATATAGAAATGATCACTTTAGATAAAGAAATGACCGAAGAAAAACTAGAAAAATTGACTGGAGAAATTGAATTACTTAAGGAACAAGTAGAAGAATTAACTCTTGAGAATCAAATCTTGAAAGAAGAATTTGAAGAAAAAGGTTAGTAGTAGTGATTTAAGTTGTTTCAAGGTTATTTTAAAATCGTTTCTATTGTATATGTTATTATTATTCATTAGGGTTCCTAGTGGAACATATTGCTTCAGCAACACATCGATCGATATTTCATCCTGTCGCCTTCGGCCTGTCGTAGCTGGCCCCACGATTGCTCATAACTTTCATCTCCACTTCACACGGCCTCCTTCATGTCACTCTCGTGTGCCCAACTCATCGATTGTTGTTTGAATCTCACTCGAGGGTCTGGCACGTGATGTGTCACTCGATAGTTTTCTCAGCCTATATCCAATGCGTTTATGTTTTCCTCTGCATATTTGTTGGACGATATGATCTTGAGTGGTTTTTTCGTGCCGGAGCTCCTGGTTGCTTGCTTATCCTTACTTGTCATTTAATCTGCAGTATGGAGCGAACGCATCTGAAGCCTCTTCGAAAAGTTTCTACTATAGTTGGGATAAACTACTGAAAAGGAAATTGTACTAGTCAAGTGATTTACACAGTAGTGCTTCCATTGATATCTTAGCTCCTAAAAATTCTCGTTTAACACCTCACAGAATGTGATCTAACCACCCATCTGAACTTTCTATAAGATGCTATTAACCACGTTAGCTCACAGGTTGCGAAACAAGTCAATCAACTAAGGTAGAGACACAGGCATATCGTGAAAACAATTTCATCGTATTTTATTATCAGTCATTTATAACTTCGATAAACATTTCACTTTTTTTCTTCAGTGTTATCGGCTTTACTCTAATCGCAGAACTGTCAACTGACATTGTGCTCATTACTTTTCAGGAGCTATTGTGGTAACTATCTCCATATTTGTTGTTCATGTATTTTGAGAAGTCATTTTATATACTTCAAGGTAGTATTTAGGCATCTACTGAATGAGTTCATCAGTCCAGTTGTTAGCGCCAGATGTCCGGATTCGCCCTTTCAACCAGGCAGCTTAAAGGTAGTAAACAGGAATTACGTAATCAAAGGCTATAAACGCGTAAGCACATGAGACGACTTCTAGAGGAAGACTGAAGTCTACCCACCGTCGACCGTACCAGGTCGTTAATTGTAGCCGTATACCAAACTGAAGCTGATCAATTCGTGTCAGATTTATCAGCAGGGAATCACGTAAATAAGCTAATACTGTCAGTGCGTGACATTACTCAAAACTCATTTTTCAATTCTGAGGATAAAGATTTACCGATTGGTAAAGAAGAATATGTAAAAATATAAAAGGTCACCCTGTCCCTTTATAGAATAATTTTATTTGAGGAGAAAAACAGTGATGCAACATTTTTTACTGATGACGTTTCGACAACAATTTATTGCTTACAACTATATCAAGGCACTCACATAACTTTTAAACTTCGTTTATGTAATTCTATTATTTCTTATCCATATCTCCAGTATACCAGCGTTACGTTATTCCTACTCATGTGTTACCTATAGATTAAATGAAGAAAAATTCAATGCTCGATTTCTCTCTCCACCTATTTATATTACTTTTTAGAACTGTAGCTCTCTCCCCATTGTATTGTGTGATTTTCATTTTTGTGAAGTCCATCATTTCACACTAAGCCAAATTCGTATGCTCCAATAATCTGACCAAACAACTGGTCTTATAGTTGTAGTTGATCTCACAGTCACTGCAGGTCATTATATTGATTAAATAGTTTTGTCTAATAGGGTTCCTTAATCTCTGAGTTACTTTGTAGGTTTAAATTCCACCCTAATTCCTGCCTTGTTATGAATCCTACGTCGAGTTATTTTATCGAATGAAATGATCCCATGATATGGAATTATACTCTGTTCCTACATCAAGGGCAACTGCGTTTTCTTGTCTAGAAATTCGCCAACATTTTTCTCTTACTTAAGGAGATAAATTACTAGACATTGCGTTCCTAGTTACTTATTGCATTCTACGTTGTTATCTCTCTTTCTCTTTCTTGTGGAAAATACCCGGTGAAGTATCAGTCGGTGTTGAAGGCGGTCCAACTCTCTTACAGTTTAAAAATCTTGAACAACAAAATGAACGAATGAAAGGAGCACTGGTCAAGCTACGTGATTTGGTTAATCAAGATAAATCGGAAATTTCAGCTTTAACTAAACAGGTAAATTCCTGCTTAATAATTTTTATGTATGATGCAGTGAGCAAAGAAAGAAACTCGATGAAGGTAAAGTTGTAATTTTGATGTTCTTGCGTTCTTTGAGCTGGCTGATTTTAAAACTGCGAAACTTTCATGTTCCTTCCGAACAACATCTTCAGTACAAGCTTTTTATCAAAGCGCATCGGGTGCAGGGTTCTAGTCTGAGTGGAACACCAGCATACGTACGTCCAGATGATGAATCTCAAATAGGACGAAGTGCTCATCCTACATTCCTCTGCTAGTCACTGTTATCATAGTAAAGGTTTTTCTAACTTATGAGATAAGTAGTGAATGCACTCAACTTACCAATTCAATATTTCTAAACTTATTAATATTCTGTACACCAATCAAGTCTACTTTTAAGAACACTAAACAGGCTACCAAAAGTTATAAATATTAATGGAGCTGTATAGCTGAGTATTGTGAATTCTTCGCATATTGGCTTCAACTGTGTTTTGAATTTCGTTTATTCTTCCAACTCTTCTTTTAACATCAACTCACTCATAGACAATATCAAAGTTTACAGTTAAGTCTGAGATAACAGTTTGTCTGAGTGGGAAAATAAAGCCTAAAAGTGAATGGTCGAGCAAATGGAAGTGATGAATGATGTGATAAGAGTTATTTACCTCTGTTGTCTTACGATTTTTGTGAAGCTCGAAATGTTATGGGGACAGTCCAAATCTGTGACCTAAAGTCCAATTCGAAAATAAGCAAAGCAATGTCATGATGCATTTTATCTTAATTTTGGTAACTAAGTCAAATCTGTAAGCCATTTTTACCTGTACACATTCTGTATGGAATCAAGGCGTTTCAAACTCGTCACATGGTACCCCATATTCACCAAGCCTTCATTTTTGTGGCAAAATTTCTTCCACATAATAATGCTGTTAGTAGGACGCCCGTGTAAACTCTATGAAAATGTGTCTATTAGTAAGGTATTTCGAGAAGGTTAGATCAGCTGAGATTCTTTGGTTGTACTTGGTGCATTTAACCGCCATTTATCGCTGATTTATTGTTATTGTCTATTATATCTGTAACGGCCAGTTAGATCAGTTCACTCTTATTGCTTTCTTTAAACTAGACGACTAATGGTAGTAGTAAGGTTTTCACCATCACAATGAACTATACAGTCAGAAAATAGAAGTTAATTGGTGGATGGTGACTAGCAATAGAATCCAGGATGCGCATTTCGGCCTATTTGGGACTCGTCAATTGGATCTAGCTGTATTCCGCAGTGAGTGATGATGTCCCCACTGAGGCTCGGACGCAGTGCCCATAGCTTCAAACGCCAAAGCGTTATCCACTAGACCACTTGGGCCAAGAGGGCCACCTCTTGTGCAATGGGTCATATTAATTATTTAATTCAACTGGAACTGCCCCATATGTGTGCAAAGTTCTATGTTGAGATCAGTAAGTTAGTCAGCTTTATCTGTATATTCATTTATACTAATTCAGCTCACTTCTATGCTATTTTGTAATATTAAATAGCTTGAAACAGACATCACAGTCACTGACGTCTGATATCGTATTGAGATTGTGGGAATTTCGTTGTAGGGATTTGGATTAATTTTACTGCATATTTCGTCTCAATCCAATATCAGTTAAAAAAATTATCAAAAACCATAGAACACTAGACAGTGGTTTTGTCCCAACTTGTGGCTCTTCAGCAGCATGCTAAATAGTCAACGGAATCAGCCTTGTGACATGAAGGTCCTGAATTCGACCTCCGTTGGGGACGTGAGTGCGTATTGCTGAAGAGTTCTAATCAATTACGAAACAGTTGTCTGGAGCTCCTTGATTTTGAATATTTCCCTAACTGATGTTGGTTCACGACGAAATCTACACTATCACATTGTATTTACCTACTTTTTATGAGAATTTGAAATACCAAACTTTAAACTGAATAATTAATTTTGTTTATTTGTATTTTAAAGATTACATCTTTAGAATCAGAAGTTAGTCAACTTCAAACAGAAAAAGAACGATTAACAAAAAATTTAAAGGATAGTGTTGAACAAATTATTGAATTAAAAGAACAAGTGGATGCTTACCTCGGCATTGATACAATGGTCAGTCAGTTGACACAACGTAATTTAGAACTGGAAGAAACGCTTGAGAAAATTAAAGAAGAAAGAAATGATCTGGTATGTATACACATGTTGATGTTGATATGCTTAATAAATCCTTCATATGTATCCCTGCAGATGTTATGATTCCCAAATCTAATAGTATAAATAATGACTGCTTCTCGTGTTTTAACACGAACGATGTCCTTAATTGTCTTCAATCTCTGAAACCTACCCAGTCCCTTGGTCCTGATGGAGTTCCTGCTGTTATCCTTAAGAAGTGCGCTGACATCTTATGTTACCCATTAACCGACATTTTCAATGAATCCTTTTCCCAAAGTATTATTCCGGACTCATGGAAAAATATCAAGGTTGTTCCAGTACCTAAATCAACAAGTGGACCTACTGTTAAGTTTCGACCGATTGCTATTACCTCACCTTTTTTAAAAGTTATGGGAAGACTTATTTTACTTAATCTTGAACCCTCTTTAAAGCCTTTTAATGACCCCAACCAGTTTGCCTATAAACATAGTAGGAGTACCTTAGATGCCGCTGTTGTTCTACATCATAATATAGTCTCTAGTTTAGATAGAGGAGCCAAATATGTTCGGTGTGCCTCCCTTGATTACACATCTGCATTTGACTCTGTTCCTAGATCTCTTGCTAAGTAGAAAACGGGCTTGAGTATAAACTGCAACTCAGAGATGTAATTGGGTAATTAAAATAAAATAAAATAGAGTAAATGAGAGAAATTCTGATGGAAAGAAAATCGGGTAGCCTAGTTATTTAAGCAGACCATTATTGTTTGCTCTGATTTATTCTTAATATTGGTGCTCTACAATCTTTTATTTACACGGTTTGCGGAAAACTGTAAATAAATCGTTGTTAATGTAACAGGATATTATGAAATATCTTTAATTTCTAGTGTAAATGTAGTTCACACTTTTTTTTGTCTCACTTTACCCACTTACCTAACTACCGTTCATTCGTTAGTTAAACTACTATGGAATGGGAATTAGTTGTAGCATTTCTACACTCAATAATGACGAAAGTTTCCTGCAAGCGATGTGACTCCTTCATATTTCTAATTAATTAACTCTAACTAAACGGTCGGTTAGGAGCGGACAGGTGGTGTTCAATCCATGACGTGTTGTCATGGGATAGAGAATAGTTGTCATTAGTTTAGCATCTCTTGTTGCACCGCTACCCCGAATGACAGTCCAAATCACTGACTTGAGTTGTTATCAAATATGGCTGAGAATCGTAATCTGAGAGTAGCATGCGGTGATAAGTCCCCTGAATAAGTATGCTTGCGAGTTTGCATAATTCTGTTCCCCAGCTACTCCATTTCTCTTCCTTATACTGTGTCTTATTGTTTTTGTTTTGTGTGGCACATCTCGTGTTGCCCATATTGTAGCAAGTTGCTGCTGAAATAATAACAAGAATGAGGATGGATTTCCCGCCGAGGAAATTAGTTGGTGGTCGCGCTAAAAACACGAATTGGTAGAAGTTAGAATTCATGGGCCAGTGGCTGAATGGAATACGAGCTTGCCTTGTAACCGGAAGGCCCTGGGATCGAACCCCAGTCCGTGCATACTTTCTCTCGGAAATTAGTCAGTGGTCCTCTTCAAACGGTCCTAAGCTGAATCCGTCTAAATATCAGGTAGTAAATTTCACTTTCAGACGAAAACGTGACCTACAACAACTAGCTAGCTCACATGGTCCCACTATCATTGATGGCATAGAGATTGAAACTACCTCTAATGTCAAATACCTTGGACTGAGGATTTCCTCCGATCTTTCCTGGTCCTCTCACATCTTGCTAGTTACTAGAAAGATGTTTCGCTTGACGTTCTACGTTAGGAAGTTAAGGCAGTCTGGTATAAAGCAGTCTTTGCTTTCTCAGTTTGTCAACTCTTGTATTCTAACGTTCCCTCTTTACTGCTCCCCATTAATCTTTCCTGGATTACTTAAGAAAGACTTTGCTTTGCTGCGTAGGGCACTAAAAGCTGTTAGTAGGGGAAGTGGGATTTTGTTAAACCAACTGGTTAACACCATTGTGGATAGACATATAATGTCATGTAAGCTACTAGCGAATTCTCTATACGCAGCTCTCTCCTTGCATTTCATCTGGTAGAACTAGAAGCAACTATAGGAGGCTATATGCCAGGGCTCCTAAGTACAAAAACTTCACAATACCTTATCTGGCACAGCTGTTATGTGATGAGAAAACTGTTAGGCATGACATGATCAATTTACTGCGGCACTCGAACAAATAGTTCCCATTAGCTTTTGTTCTCCTTTCTTTGTAACTATTATATTGTTGCTCACATATTCTATTACACATTAATTTTATATTTCATATCCTGTGGTGCATTGTTTAAATATGTGAATGCAATGCCGTTCTTTCTTATTTCTTTTATTTCTCGTCTTTTCTTTTTGTTGTTGTTGCTTTTTATTTTTAAAATCTTATAAAATTTATGAGGTAATTAGATGTAATATTGTAATGCACGCTGAAAATCCCATACCTGTACCATAAATACTGTTTGGAATAAAGCTATTATTATTATTATTATTAAGCTGTAAATATACCATGCCCCTTTTTCAATCTGCAAAGCTATAGACTGCAATCATATTCTATGTTCAATTTAAATGCGAGCATCCAAAGTATTACCTTATATTGATCTTTACAATAGAGACAACAGTACTGAAAGTAATAGTAAGGCGATAACCATCACTAAAGCTCAGCATTTTTTTGATGTTAACAGAAAGTTGATATTACTACTATGTGGAGTTTATAACAAAAAGTCTAGAAATGATAAGAATTAACCGTCTTTGATTTTAAAAAAGTGCTTTAATTAAATAATTATTTGCTTCTTTTTTTTTTTCCTATGGTTTTTATAGGAAGCTCTTTGTGAAATGAATGATGAATTGCAAGAGAATAGTCGTCAAACAAAACTTGAACTACTTGAAGAAATTGAACGAGCCAACAGTCAAATTAATCAACTTGTACGTCATTTAGATGCGACACGTGAAACAATTGCAGACTATGAACAAACTCTTGGTAAATTTAGAGATTTAGTCTCTGATTTACAAACACAAAATACTGATCTACGTAGGTCATTAGCGGATGGAAAACGCCTACAGGAAGAACAACAGCAACAAAATGCCTATCGTACAGTTGCAACAGATCTTGTCGGTTCTACAGCTGCATTTATGGGGGGTAAATTCGGATTAGGCTCTCAAGTACAAACTCTTGCTAAAGTGAGTATTTCATATCATTATTTTTATTGATATCAATCTGTGATGAAAAGTGAAAACAAATAAAATCCCTAGAAATCAACACTTAAAAAGTAATCTGATACTCACTAGTGGTTGACTTACCGATTGCAGTCACCCAAAGTTCTAGGGGAAAGTCGTGACTAGCCGAGTCCGCCAAGTTGGGTGTGAGGACAAATATTCACCGCTGACATATTGGCTGGTGGTGATGTTGTATATCGGGAAACTGGCAGAAGTTAGAAGTGTGAAAAGTCATTGGATTCCATCCGAGTGGCTGAATAATTATCGAGCTCGCCTTTTAACCTGCAGGTCTAGGGTTCCATCCTGCGTGAGGTGGTTATAGGTTCGTACTGCTGTCAAATACTCCCTGGGTTTCAGTGACTGACTCTCCAAATGATATTAATCCGTGATCACACTTGACACCAATCAAATGGCTATGAGCTAACGCTTGAAAATGATTTTTATTGCTAATTTTATTGATTTTACGCAATATTTGACACAGCGATTATTCATCGATACAAATTAAGTAATCCGGAAAGACCATTGTACACACAGAAATCAGAGTAATAATTAAAAGTAAACAAAATGAAAAGGATTATAATGAAGGAAGTTTTCTATTCACCGAAATTAATTTTAAAACTTCATACTGGTTTATTTATACTAGAAGAAACAGAATATTTTATAATAATATCAAATTAGGGATTGAAATAGGCTCAGTGGGAAAATTTCTAACGCTGGTTTGCAAGGATTTAATTGATTTCAAATTGGATCATGAACCGACTTCAATTAGAGAATTAGTGAAAACCAAGTAGTACTAAAAATCTCTCTCTTCCTAGTTTTGTGAATTTCCAATAGTAGATACCTATCACCACCTCACTAGAGGCCGAACACAGGACTCTTCATTTTACAGGAAGAACTCGTTGATCACTCAGTCGCTGGGACAGAATCCAGTGGGCGGGCCATCAATTCTGACTTCTGCCAGTTTTGCGATTTATAGCTCCGCTGGCAGCCACCAACATCATCTGCAAGTAATTGTCGTCACAATCAACTTGGTGTGCCCCGTTTATGACAACCTCTCGCATCGTTCGACGCCTGGTGAAGTTATGAGTGCGTGTTGTTGAAGAGCTATAAATGGGGACGAAACATATATTGTTCATTTTAATTTCATTAACTACTAAAATCTTGTCCGCAATTAGTAATTGTTTACTTTAAAGATGCCTATGTTTTTATATCTACATGGCAAGTCAATAACCTTTTTTATGCTAAATGCCTTTTAAACTTAATTTTGACATCCCGTTCGTCTTAGAAATAAACTCCGCTTTCCTTATATCACTATGATAAGCTATAACGACTATTGGAATTATACTTTTACCGATTTGAATTAGTTTAACAACTCAATTATCATTTACACTTCTCGTTTTTTAATCTGTAAGCAACATGTAATCTTTTAGAGATATATGGTTACCTAAATTTCGGTTAATTTTTTGGAATCTGAATGATAAGTGTGGTGTCTTAACCAATTTGCCTGAAGTAGATACGATGGCTTGGTTTTCTTAGAATGATACGGAGAAGGTCATGTGAGAAGGAAACGAAAACTCCTGGACAGTAGTGAAGCTATTTTTTCCTTGAGTTCTGATGGAAACATAGGGGTTTGATAACACATCTGCTTTGCAATCTGTTCTCTGAAGTCCCACTCTCGGTTAGCTTCACTACTAGATGGTCGCAGGCAATCGGCAGGAAGCCTTGGACCCTAGTTTTCGTGATTCTTGGCACTCGTCGGGAAGGCATATCTGCAACCTTGAAGGAACTCGTATCCCTTCTGAGATTCGAACCCACGTCACCCAGTGCTGCAGTCAGAGCCGTTACCACTGAGCTATTCAGGCTCGCGACTGACCTCCTGTAGGCCTGTATTGGCTATTTTTGATTCGATACTAGTTAGTAGCTAGCGTAATGTGTCTAGTCCTTTGTTTTGTGCAGACTGAATTCTGTCAGTCAAGTTTGCAATGTGGCCACCAACTACCACGAAACCTAGGTTCAAGGTTTCCTGCCGATGTCTTCCAACCATCTAACACCAACAATTGACAGTGCACTCTGATGGGGAGCCACCTAGCATCGTGGCCACATTACGAACTCGACTGATAGAATTCAGTCTGCACAAAACAAAGGACTAGACACATTACGCTAGCTACTAACTAGTATCGAATCAAAAAGAGCCAATACAGTCCTACAGGAGGTCAGTCGCGAGCCCGAATAGCTCAGTGATAACGTCTCTGACCGCAGCACTGGGTGACGTGGGTGCTAATCTCAGAAGGGATACGAGTTCCTTCAGGGCTGCAAGTATGCCTTCCTGACGAGTGCCAAGAACCACGAAACCTAGGTTCAAGGCTGTCGAATCCCTATGTTTCAGTCAGAATTCAAGGAACAAATAATACTATTAATATTAGAGTTTTTAGAAGTTGCGGCTCATTGGTCTCTGTGCCCGACTTTCAACACGTTGGTCGCACGTTCGAACTCCACTCCAAGCATTGAAGTTTACACAGCCTGGGACAGTATGACCAACCCTCACACAACATGTGTAGATCAGCCTTAACTATATGAAATTGCAAATGACTGTTGAGTAACGTTGAGTTGGGTTGAGTTGATTAGTATTTCAAGTTCTAACTGATATTTATGTTTTAATTTCAATCATTCATGATGAACTCTTCTGTATTCTACTTGCTACTTTGAATTCATGTTACCATATTGTATTTTACTGTCTTATTTAACATTGAAAAAAGGTAATTGAAGCTGAATTAAGACGCCTTGAAGCAGAACAAACTGCAAATCATGTGACGCGGTTATCTGCTTTCTTACCTGACTCATTTCTCCGACGTGGTGGTGATAATGAAGCATTACTTTCACTTTTGTTAATCGATCGACTAGCTGGGAAATGCGATCTGCTGGCTAATCATGTAAGTTTAATCTTATTCTCTCAATTTGTGATATTTTACTGTATATAATAAATTATACGTCGTAATATAGTCTCAGAGTAGTGTATGTGTCCACGAATTGTACTACTTTTCGTGTGTACAATGCGTTACTGATATTCAGATTGGGGGACACAACTCTCTAATTTACTTTGCTCTAAACAAATGAATGTTTATGAGTTAATGAGATACCATAGATTTGTGTGATGCTTCCTTAATAATATTCGACAAATAAATGCAAATGTACGAACGATTTTGAGGCATATCACTAAAAGTCTCAAGCAAATAGTTCTTAGTGTCTCGGGGATCCCAGCCGAGTAGTCCATTCGACTACCTCTAACTATTATCCAAGCTAGTCCTGTGTCTGTTAACATTGCTCAATCAGGGAGGTAGTGACTTGGCATGTGTGACACATATCCCATCGATCTCGATCAATTTAGCTTCACAATTTCATTGACAGACTTCCTCTTCTCATCTAACTTCACTATTACCCACCATATTATACCACTTAACACGAGAGATGGGAAGCATACACCTATGATCAGTGACAACTAACCTCTTCATATCTCTCACTTTCAACAACGTAAGCAGAACGAACTGCTGCGCGGTACATATGTCCTTTAATCGATAGTTGTATATCCCGCCCATTACTATAATGAAGGTGAACGAAAATGGGGACAATGAACATACCCGACGGACACTTTTGATGTTCATCACTTGACATGATAACTCTCCATAGGGTCTAACAAGGCCGTGTGAGTTCGAGTAAAGCGTCTTGGTTAGTGTGATATACTTTTTCGGCACTCTGTTCACGACGAAACATTGATACATTACCTCTCGGTTGACGGAGTCAAATACCGCCTTTAGGTTAAGAAATGTAAGATTTGTTGGACACCGGTAAGTATGCCTATATTTCAGAATCTGTCGAAGGGTAAAAATGTGATCCAAACACTCTCGTCTGGGCCTAAGGCCTGACTTGTTTTCACTGGTTTGTTCCTACCAAGTACCTCTTAGTTGACGCGTGATTATTTGTACTAGTCAAGCCAGTCAAGCTTAACCCTATGATTGTTCTCACAGGCAAACGTGTTCCCCTTCCTATAAACTAGAATAATCAATGATTTACACCAGTCCAACGAAACTATTTCCAGACACTACATGATATCTTAGTTAAAACAGTTAACAATTCATCACCACTATTCTGAAACACTTATAGAGTGATTTCATAAGGACCTGTTGCTTTTCCTCGTTTCAGACTAAAGACAGCTTTTGCGACCTCAGTTACAATTAAAGGACTAATGTCTACAATCCATTCAGATAGGTGGTGGAAGCTGAACAAACTAAGTATAACTGTAGGTTAGTTAAAGTGCTCCTCAAAATGCTTACTGACTAGCGAAATAAGTGTAAAATCGTTAAAACCAGTCAGTGGGAATTTATTAAGGGTGGATAATTATAAATAATGAGATACGAAATATGATGGAATATTTGGGAGAATGAACTATGGTCTAAATAAGCATTTAAATGACAAACAGTTTGCATTACGTCACAATTACATCGCTTGAGGGAAGTAGAAGCATTTTTTTTCAACACTAAAAGGCTAAGATAGTAGAAGAAAGCAGAGTTTTAACCAGTTTTTTTTCTGTGTACAAAGCTGCAGCTCCTGTAATTCGACATTTAGGGCATCAGGAGTGCAAAGAAAGTGAATATACGTTGATTTCGATGGGTTATTTAACAGTTCTTAGGTGTAATTTCGGAGGGTAAAGTTGTCGTGATTGAGTGATCAGTGTTGACCTGATGTTCAGCTATCGCAGATCTTGCAGACTGATTTCTACTTCTTCCTTAACCATCAATCAATCTTAGGATCTTTACATTCGTTAGGTAGTTGAAAGGAATCGACAGGAAGCCATTACAAGCATCTTGTGCAACGGATATCAGTTATTACTTTTGTTTTTAGGTTAAAATTTTGCATTTCCCGTTGGTCGATTATGTTGACCTGAAATGCTGGGTCTCTCTGTTGACATGTCGGCCGCTAGTACGGATGCTTCGACTGTGTCTTAGGAATGGTGTGAAGTCACTTCGGTTGATGATGACTAGCAATGGAATCCAAGATGTGTATTTCGTCGTGTTTGGGACTCGGCAGCTGCATGCACAGAGCACTTCGATCCAACACATAATCAATCAACGATAAATGCAAATTAACCTAAGAGCAAATATATTCACAATCGTTTTATATTTATAGCATTTAATCCCACACTAAATGATTTATTTTCAGATTGTTGAACGTTATCCATTGCCTCCTTGTGTTCCGGGTCAAGCACCACTACAGATGTCTCAAGGTGAAACCAGTACTACTACTACTACTACTGATAATCCAACTGAAGTTGTTTGTGGAATTTGTATTCCTGGTACTGATAATCCACTGACTAAAACACAATCAGAATTCTATAGTTTTATAACTAGACTAATTCATCTACTCCGGTCAATGGCTTCTTTGTTAGGCCAGTGTAAACAGTAAGTGATTTTGTGTATTTAGTCTAATTGATAATATTCTAGTGGTAGTTTGTAGGTAGGATGAGTGGGTTGATTGATTTCAAGTAAGATTTGGCCATAAAGTGACTTCAGAGGGAGAGAGAGTGATTGAAAATCAAAGGGTAATGCGAGTTTATTTCGTCTTAGTCTGTGACTCCTCAGCAGTAGGCATAACCCGACCTGGCATTGAAACGAGAACCTTCAAGGTATGAAGCGATCAGATTCTTGAACATTGTGGAGTGCAGCAGACCAGTAGCCTTATGGTCACACCACCTGCCAAGTGATTCACAACGGAAAGCTCAGTGAATTGTTCGAAGTGAAGACAGGAATAAGACAAGGCTGCCTACTATCACTAGTGGGTTGGGTCATGCGGCAGACTGTGGAGGGGGAGTAGAAAAACAGGCATACATTGGACTGACAAAAAGACTGGAAGATTTGGACGTCGTGAATGATTTCTGTCTCGTGTCTCTCAAATTTGACGATTTACAAGGAAACACCAACAAGTTTGCAGAATTGGCAGCAAAGACGGAATTTCAATTGAATAGAGTGAACAACAATCATCAGTTACCAGCAACGGGAGAAACCTGAAGGAAGTCTTTTCCTTCACTCAACTGGACATCATCGTTTCAACTACAGGCGACACGGATGGGTATGTCAAAGCCAGTCAGAGTTCGGAAATTACGACAGTCATGCATTAAATCTGAAAACAATGTGGAAATCTACCACACTCAGCACAGAAAAATCCCCAATTTTCAGTACTAATGTCAAGTCAGTGCTTCTATATGGTTGAGAAAGCTGGCGCGCACACTACGTAAAATATTCCCCAAAAGCTGCAGACTTTCATCAATAGGTGTCTTCTCTAGCTCCATACTGAAGACCAATTAGCCAGTCAGCAAAGATAAGTGTCAAGGAAGTCTCGCAACGAACAAACCAATAGCTTGTTGCCCAACAAATGTGCAGAAAGAAAAAAAAAGAGCCGGATTGCGCATACGTTTATGAAATTGTTAGGTGGTGTACTGCTAAAGTCCTATGTTGTTCCACGCGGAATCCAAGGGATGAATAATGTAGTCACAAATATGCTCCACTGTGAACATGCAGTAGGTTCAGAATACGGATATCCAGAATTATCAGCTTTCTATTAACCCTTATTTATTCGATATAGTATTTCACACTGGGAATTTTCACTTAATGTTAAGATATTATGAGTGACATGAATAGAAAATACAGCCACTAGTGTATAACTTTCGGATTGTTTGTCGTACTTTTTATCATTTTTTCAAATGATAAACACTATTGAAAAAACAACTCTACAATTTTAACATTCAGTAAGCAAATTTACTCCTATATGGAATTGCTCCTGTTCAAATCTTAAAATGGGTGTTGTTGGCACAGAGGTAGAATGCTCGCCAACCACGCAGGAGGTTCGGGGTTCGATCCCCAGCCGACGCATTCCTCTACTTCACTAAGCCAGTAATAAGACTGGTAAAGAGGGAAGGTTGGGCATGAGGCTAGCAACCCCATCCCATAAAAATAAATACCACTGCTACTGAAACTTCGAAGCTCTAGCTTGAAGCCCTATCTCCCACTGAGAACGTGAAGGAATAAATAAAA